TTTTAAGTAACTTTTATTACTTTATATTGTCAGAATTGTCCTATTTTGTAATTATTGTTATTTAATCACTGTGCCAAATTTATAAATTAAACTATCATAGGTATAAAACTAATTTCATAGGTATATATAAGTGGTGAGCAAAATACATGGTGAATGTTTAAATTTTAAAAATTTACTACAATGAATATAATCATTACACATTACACATGCAAAATAAAAATTTATTATAGTAAATGACATATTGCCATTAATATTCCAAATACTTCCCTTGCTTCAAACACACTTATCCCATCATGCTTGCCTCTTTCTTTCTCTTTTTTTCAGTGCTGGAGATTGAACCCAGGGCTTTGTACATGCTAGGCAAGTGCTCTACCACTGAGCTACACCCCCAGCCCCTCTTGCCTCTTTCTGAAGCAGTTTTAGAAGTCCTCTTTTGTGAGGGTCTTTATGAGGAGTGATTAAAAATATGGTGAACAATGGTGGTCAGTGCCATTCAAGGGAAAGGCAAGCTCATAATAAAAGCATTATTTTGTGTCTTCATCCACTTTATTCACCAGATCTAGCATGTTGTGACTTGTTGCTCTTCTCCAAAGTCAAAATGACGATGAAAAGTAAAGATCTGGATTCAAATCAGAACACCCAGTTAACTATAACAGCTCAACTAAAGAAATGAAAGAAGACCTCTACAACTGTTTCAGAAAGTGGCAATAATGATAGGATGTGTTAAGACAGGGAAAATATTTTGAGGGGGAGTTAATAGCAATGTCTTTTACTGTAATACACTTTTTTTAAAAAAAAAATAAATATTCACTATATTTTTTGATCACACTTTGAACATACAGGAAAAAAATACTGGGGTCCAACAGTATCTTTAGTTTCAAGCTGGCCTCCACTGGGGGTCTTGGAACATATTCCTAATGGATGAGGGACTACTGCACAGCTTATCAGTTTTCAAACTAATTTGTTATTTTGTTTTGTTTCATTTTGATACAGGGTCTCACTCTAGTTCAGGCTGGCCTTGAACTATGTAACCCAGGCTGGCCTCAAACTTGCAGCAATCCTCCTGCCTCAGCCTCCCAAGTACTGGGATTACAGGCATGCACCACCACACCCGGCCATGCCTATATCTCAAGTGATGAATACCTGAACCAAAAAACTTAAGTCCATCCCAAACACCACCCCCCAATTCAAATACTGAGGCCCAGAGAACTTAAGCTATCTGTGCAGGCAAATGCTGGGCAGTAGAGGACTGAGACTAGAACATGTCTCCTGATTTCCAGCTAACTGCTTTTGCTATAAGCTCCACTGTGTCAGATTTCAGAGCCAGAAGTGAGTATAATGTTTTAACAATTATAATAATTCTGCAAATAAAATTCTGTATCTTAAGAATATATGAATCAATTACCTGCTGGGCAGCACCATCCGTGGCCAGCATTCTGCGTTCCTTCAGTTGCCTGTGTAGTAAGGCTTCCACTCCATAGCGCTGGCGATACCGCCGGAGACATTTTAATTGCTTTAAGTTCTCTCGTTCTTTGGTTAAAAGTCCCTCTGGGCCAGTCAAGAGACTGCTGCCTAAATAGTCACAAAAGTCAACATATAATTTGCAAGCAAACTGTCAAAGATGCTTCTCCAAAGTTAGCAAAGAAATCTCCAGTTGTAAAACAGGTAGTTTAATTGCATAAAACTTGCCTAGAGCTTCATGTTCCACTTTGCGGTTATGTAAGTACTGGCGCTTCTTCTCCTTAAGCAAATGCTGAAGTCGTTTAAACTGATCTATGTATAAAGACTGCAAACGAATTAACTTTTCACGCATAATCAGGGCCACTTCTTCTGCTGTGTACACACCAGCATGTCTGGAATAAAACAAAGGATTCAGCAAAACATAAGAAAACACAATAAAACCTAAGCTTAAAAGTAGAAAAGTAGCTGGGTGAGGTGGTGGTGTAATCCTGGCACTTGGGAGGCTGAGGCAGGAGGATTGCTGGGAGTTCAAGGCCAGTGACTTCAAGGACAGCCTGAACTACATAATGAGACCCTGTCTCAAAAAGGGGGGGAGAGGCATAAAGAGATTAGACCTAGTTATTTAACAAGCAGTCAGTGAGAACAGAAACAATCACTTTATTAAATTAGAATATTTTCATACAGCATTTTACCATTTAAATTGTTAAAAGTTAGCTCCAATTTGTCTCTGATCACATCATATAAGAGCACATTCCTTTTCACATTTTGAAAATTATTTCCTTTGTTTAAAAAATAACACACAAGTTATACATCTAAACTAATACTAAACCCCAAAAATACACTTTCTATTTTTGTGATAGTGGGGAATGAACTCAAGGGCACTCTATCACTGAACTGTAAGCCCATCCCTTATTACTTTATTCTGGAGACAGGATCTAACTAAATCGTCCAGATTGGCTGGGAATTTGCAATTCTCCTGCCTCAGCCCCCCTGCAGCTGAGATAGCAGGCAACCACCACCACACCCAGTTTTCTACTTTTTTTTTAAAGTATCCAGTTGTGGTGGCACATGTCTATAATCCCAACACTTGGGAGGCTGAGGCAGGAGGATCGCCATGAGGTTGAAGCCAGCCTGGGCTACATAGTTCAAGGTCAGCCTGAATTACGTAATGAGAGAGGCCCTGTCTCGAAAAAAAAAAAAAAAAAATTAGCTGTTAAGTCACTAAAATGTACAAAATAAATAAATTTTAGGACCAAAAGCATATCTGCCCAAATTTTTTCAAATAAGCAAGAACCATTATTATTTGCATGTTGGAAGTCCTTAACTACAAAGTAACATGAAGGAAAAATAAACATACAGACATTAAGAAAATTCAAAACATGAATGAGAAAATTAGAGATGATTAAAAATCTAAAAAAACTATCCCAAAATGAAGAGATTTTTAAAATGCTTTATGTCTGAACAAGGTAAGTTATGTCCTCAGGAAAATGGGCTATGTCTAATTAACATGTCTACAACCTTAAATTCCTTCACTTGGTCTTAAGTCAAAAGGCTGAGAAGTGACACAACCTTTAATTCCCAATGTCCTAAGCTAGTACCAAGTTTGTTTAAACAAAATTAATTTCACTCCACTCTCTGTGAGACAGAATTTAACCAACCATCCGGAGACTTGAATTTTACAAATGAAAAGCCACTACCACTAGAATTTACTAGAAATGATTTTCAAGGGCCAAGGGTAACATCCTACCAAATATGAACACCTAGTTCATGCAACAAATGGGTCATTTACTCAAGGACGGATGTACCAATCTCTCACAGCTAGGCATTAAAATCTACATGCACACTTTCGTCTGATATAAACAAATGAAAGTTATTAGGATTAGAACTGAACTTCAAAAATGAGGGAAACATTTTATATTCCATTAAACAATATCTCTTATTAATTTCTTTGTTTTTGGCTTTTTGAGATAGTCTTGCTATGCAGCCCAAGCCAGCCTCAGCTCACAACTCAAACTCTTGCCTCACCCCCAAGTGCGAGGATCACAGGCATGTGCCACCACACCCAGCAATAATCTCTTATTAAAAAGGCTTTCTCCCCAAATTTTATTTTGAAAACAAAGATTATCTGAAACTGATTTTTACCAAAGCAAGCTTTGAATATTTCAAAGCTTGAATAGGTCACATGATAACTTTTCTTTTGTTTTTGAATGCAGCCCTCACACACGGTCTACCAGAGTTATACTCCAGGCAAGGCAATTAAGAAAATGGTTACTTTGAGGAAAAATTATACATAATACTTTTAGGGGTTAGGGGTTTAAAGGTACTAATTTAATTCTAGAATAAAGTCTCCAATGACATAAATAATACAAAATGTGTCATTTCTGCAACATGTAAATGAAGATAAAAGCTACTACATATTAGAGGATTCAAAAACTGGTCCTAGTGATTAAAAAAAAGACACTGGCACCAAAACTGTAAATTCATAGGGCTGGGGATTTAGCTCAGTGGTGCTGCCGCCTGCCTCCCAAGCAAGCAGAAGGTCCCAAGTTCGATCCCCGAAAAAAAAGTAAATTCATAATGAAAAAGATTTCATTAAATGTACAGTACTACTAAACTACTGTATTAGTAAATATAAGATAGTAACTTATGACCATACTAAAAAGACAATTCTATCCCTAAAAGCACATATATTTATTTAGTAAGCCAACATGTTTGGGAGGACGATCTCACTGGGGAAAAAAAAGCTTTATATTTAGTTGTCTGATAGTTGAGACTATACTGGGCTTTATTCGCCCTTTTATGTTTGTACTAGAGACTGGCATGAACTACCTAGTCTTTTAGCATTCATGTCTCATACAATTAACTGATATTTTGATACACACAGTCACTTCAGAGTTAGATTAGTACAACTGCATCAATTAGAATCTGTTACACTCTAGACTACTATCAACAAAATCAAGTTTCTGGGCCTTCAAAAATTAAGACTTGACTCCCTGGAAAGCGTGAGGCCTTGAGTTAGATTCCTGGTACCAAAAAAAAAATTAGACTTGATTTTGGTGTATTTATGCGTGATCATACAGAATACACATCAAAGCAGGAATGAGGGGGTCTTTGAGAAAGGATCTCGCTATGTAGTTCAGGCTGGCCTGGCCTTGAACTCCTGGGAATCATCCTGCCCCAGCCTCCATGCCCAGCTTCACACTAAACTACTGACTTTCTAAACTAGTACTTCCTCAATGGCTGACCACACTGAGATTACTCAGTAGAAATAGAATAAAATTGGGCTGGGGATTTAGTTAGCTCAGTGGTTCCACAAGCGCAAGGACCCGAGTTCGATCTCCGGTACCAAAAAAAAGAAATGGATAAAACTGTTCTACTCAAAATATATAACCCTCCTGGGTGTGGTGGCACACACTTGTAATCGTAGCACTCCAGAGACCTAAGTAGGATAACTGAGAGTCTGAAGCCAACTGGGCTACATATTAAAGTCAAGGACAGGGCCAGGGATTTAGCTCAGTGGTTTCCGCCTCTGCCTGCTGCGCAAGCGCAAGGACCCAAGTTCGATCCCGGGTACCAAAAAATAAAACAAAATAAATTCAAGGACAGAGCCAGGGATTTATTTAGCTCAGTGGTTCCACCACCTGCCTCACAAGCATATGGTCCCAAATTCGATCCCCGGTACCAAAAAAAAATTAAAAATAAAAATATATATATATATTCAAGGCCAGCCTGGACTACATAAACATACCTTATCTCCTCCAAAAAATAAATAAAATGGGCTGGGGATACAGCTCAGTGGTAAAGTGCTTCCCCAGTGTGTGTAAAGCCCTGGGTCCAATCATTAGTAGATTTTTTTTTTTTTAAAGCCTAACAGTCAAGTCTAGAAATTCATAATCCCTCCCACTATCTAAAGTACTTCTGCCTGAATTGTCAGCCAGTAGTGTTAAGAGGCAAATGTTAGGGCCGGGGATTTAGCTCAGTGGTTCTGCCACCTGCCTCGCAAGTGCAAGGTCCCAAGTTCGATCCTCAGTACCAAAAAAAAAAAAGAGGCAAATGTTAGAAGTGGGGGGAGGGATTCCAAGTACAGAAAAACAACTTAGAGCTACAGATGTAGTTCAGTGGTAGGTAGAGTGCTTGCCTACCACATACAAGGCCTTGGGTTCAACCTCCAGCAGTGCAATTAAAAGAAAACAAGAGCTAAAGGCAAGCCATGAGACACAGAAATATGAGACTTCGGAGTAACAATGTTTTTTGATGCCTCTATATCTCCCAAGGTGATCACGGATTAGTGAAGAGGACAACCTTAGTAAGATATAATAAAGATTACTCATTTCTGGACTTCTAAATAAGTTTCTCCTCCTTCCCTTCCCCTCAGGATTAAACCCAAAACCACCTTCTTCTCTTTCTCCAAGGACAAAAACCAAACTACATCCTCAGCCCCACTTTTTTGGAGGTTTTTTTTGTGGGGGGGGGGTACCAGGGATCGAACTCGGGACCTTGTGCTTGTGAGGCAGGCAGCAGAACCACTGAGCTAAATCCCCGGCCCAGCCCCTCTTTTTTTTTCTTTCTTGAGATAGAGGTCTTGGTAAGTTACCTAGGGTGGGCACAAACTTGCAATTCTCCTGCTTCAGCCTGCCAGAGTGTTCAGCATACACCACTGTGCCACTGTGCCCAGGCTTCAGTTTCTCCTTAAGCACAAAACCAAAGCAAACTAAACACCTTTTTTCTTTCAAAAGTAAAATAAAATACACACTATATTTCGCAAAATAAGTAATTGTTCTAGCACCTCACTATTCCTGAAGTTTAGAACAAGCACCCATTAACATCCATTTTCTCATCTTTAACCAGTCTAATTATTCCCTGCTTTTTTTTTCTTTTGGTACCAGGGATTGAAACTGGGTCCTTGCGCTTGCACAGCAGGCGGCGAAACCACTGAGCTAAATCCCCAGCCTAACCAGTCTAATTATTTCTCAACCTACCTCCACTGTCATGTTCACGAAATCTGACTTTTCTCACTTATACTTTCTCTTGTCTAAAATTTGATGTTCAAACATTTTTTCAAAGTTATAAGACTTCTACAAAAAAAAAAAGGAAATTTGCCAGACATAATAGTGTCCAATCCCAATCCCAGCACTCTGGGAGGCTGAGGCAAGAAAAATGCCAAGTTTGAGCCCAGCCTAGGCAACTTACTGACTTAGCAAGACATTGTCTCAACGTTTTGGTTTTTTTTTGGTACCGGGGATCAAACTCGGGTCCCTGCGCTTGCGCAGCAGGCAGTGAAACCACTGAGCTAAATCCCCGGCCCCACTGTCTCAATTTTAAAAAGGAAGAGGGCCTGGGGTAGCTCAGTCTGAAGGCCCTAGGTTCAATCCCAGTACCACAAAAATAAAAAATAAAATCTTGACTTGAAGAGACACAGCATGATGAACCCTTACACTTTAATATACAGAAGCTGCCATGGCTCACAAATAGCTAAGCTATCTTCTACCTTCCTTAGTTAACAATCTACATATTATACCACATCCCACACGCTAACTACCAAAAAATGCAAAAGCTTTATGTGGAGTTACGACTTACTTTAAGGGATCTTCTTGATCACTGTCTATGCTATCAGCTTCACTGTCAGGGTCACCTCTCCATGTCTGATCCACAGTAATGGGTTCCTGGTCCCCATCACTCCAGCTGTCTTCATCTGAGGCAAGGAAGGGAGAGCAGCTATTAAGACTTCCCACCTCTGTAACTCCACCACACAGCTGATTACTCAACAGATCAGCCCAAACCTTAAAATTAAATTTAAAAACTTTTAATACAGAAAAAGTCCCCAGCTCAAGAGCGTGAACCTAAGAAAACTATTTCAAATTCAAAAGAATTGGTGAAGATAGCAATCCTAGAATTCTCATCAAATTCCCAAAGAGTTAACAATACTACCAAATATGTTCAAGTCACTGGACTAGACCAAAGTTCTTTATTAACATTTCTTTCTCCTTTTTATTCTAGGAGAGAAGATCCTTACCCAGTATTCGGCTGGCTTCACTACGGCTACTTTCTGGAGTCTGAGAGCCCAACTCTGTCTTAGCATATGAACTCAGCTGGCACAACAGAGTTTCACCCATAGGCCCTGGATTGGTCTTCTTCATTTGAGCATGAAGCGCTAGGGCATTCCTTCGGGCATGATCAGCACAGAAGGACATACTAAGGAGACAAAATATTAATATTTTATAGGCTCCCTCTTGAAAGGGTTCAATGATTTTCTTAGTCATAGGTCTCTAGATCACTTCAGGAAATCAAAATGACTTATATTAACTCCTAAAAAGGCCAGTAAAATCCAAGGAATTTAACTGGCCCAAGGTCAACTCATTTGTTTGTTTTCTTGCGCATGGCTCTGGGTTTGGTCCCATGTGTGGTAGCTCAGCCCACATCTGGTGTTATTAAAAAGAAAATGCAGGGCTGGGGATTTAGCTCAGTGGCACATCACCTGTCTTGCAAAAGCAAGGTCCTGAGTTCAATCCCCCATACCAAAAAAAAAAGAAAAGAAAAGAAAAGAAAATGCAGGTAGCTTAATCTAGTACTCTGCCATCAAACAAAACATTCCAACTATAATAAAATGTTGACTATCTCATAACATATCAGACAGCCACTTGCATTTTTCAGAATTAATTCTGGAAGGAACATTTTAGTATCAATCCATTGTAGGTAGTAAGATATTGCATGCAATTTTAAAGTACAGAATACATACACAATTATCTAGTAATGTTTCTACAAGGGTACCTTTGTGTACTGTAAGTCTTGTCCAAAAGAATACATACATACACAATTTTGTATGCTATTCAACAAGATACACGGACAACGAACAGAGCTAACACACCAGCAGTAAGATAAGTGAGAACATCTCTTCACCTCACAGATAAAGGGAAAAGATTCGAAGAGAGGGACTACAGTAAGCGGCCCGACTCAAGGGCCCTTCTAGTTTTCAGCACTTTAACGTTCTTTCCCGAGATGTGCCCACGACCCCAGTTTTACAAGTACGTGATCCAAAAGGCTGTTATGCCTCAAGCCCACATCACAACACTTTGCCCCTCACTTTAAAGGAACAGAGGGCTGTGGGTGGGTCCTGGGTTCAACCTCCAGCACAAAAGAAAATCTCAACTTAAAAATTACATATACCCATCTTTCTTCTCTGGCTTTGGGGCAGCACTGGGACATCTCTTTCCATTCTTCGTGGATATATAACTACATTGCTTGAAGGGTGCATTCTTGTCCTTGAGGATATGCTTAATCCAAAACTCCTGTCCTTCCAGACGAGGCTGAGAGCATGGGCGATGAGTGAAGGAACAAGACAACGGTTCCTGGGACCTGGGCACTGGCGTGATCCTCCCCCGGTTGGTTGGCAAGACGTGAATCCGAATCCTGTTCATACCAAAACCTGTGAGGTGACACAAAACACCAAAATGCCCACGACATCCGGAGAGACTGCTGGTAGTTTCTAAAAGCCCAGCAAAGTCGATCTGCCTCCGCGCCCGTGCACCTCCAGGGCTCGCCGGGCTGGTACACCAGGGCGAGCGCCGCGCCAGCCCCACGCGGCCCCACCACAGCGCCGCGCCCCGCCCCCGCTCCCCGCGCGCCGCCTTTTGTCCCCGACAGCCTCCAGCTCAGGGCTTTGCCCCTCCCGGCCTCGGACGCCGCGCAAGCGCCATTTTGTCCCAAGACTGTAGGCGCCAGAGAACCTGACTCCCTGAAGCCTGTAGAAGGGACTGCGATTCTGACGCTGTTTGAGGCAGATTTACTGCTCCCGGCCGACAAAACAGACAACAGCCTAATTGCAAATGCGAAGAACAAGCAACGCCGCCATTTTACCCCGCCGCCGCGCTCCGCCACTCCGTACCGCGTCTCCAGGCCTCTTCTGGCAGGCGCTGCCGCTACTAACTCTGCCCAGCTCCTTTCCGAGCTCCTTGCCACTGATTGGCTGCTCTTCCTAGGGCGGCGTGTCACCATTGGCCGAGACTCGTACCTTCCACGTCTAGGAAGACTAACGGCAGACATAATGAGCGGCTGGAGAGGCTGAGACGAACTGTCTGTCAATAACTCCCGCCCCATAAGAGTGGGCGGCCGGTAAGGCGGGCTACCCGGCTAGTTGCCCGCTCCCGATATTTTTCCACCCTTTGGTGTAGTTTATTTTCAGGCACCTTTTCCAGATGTCTGACATCCTAGGTAGCTGTTTCCTTACCAACCCAGCTCCGCGGGTAGAAAATCGAACAGAGGCTAGAGGATCACTGTATATTTGTATATTTGTTTATACATAAAGTGTTCTTTTGTGAGTCGTTCTGTTTATTTACCAATCGTTTCGTGTAGAGCGCTCCAAAACATCTGGATGTTCACCACTGTTAGGCGGGTACCTAGCAATCCCACAGAACAAAATGGCTCTAAGTTTACACATTATGCACATTCCTTCCAATATCTGACCACCAGGCTGTTTCCAACAAGGCATATAGCATTCCTGGGTGCCATGGCCTAAACCTATTGATACCAGAAAGAGAAGCATCCCCCACCCCACCCCACCCCACCCCACCCCACCCCACCCCGTACCGCGGATCGAACTCAGGACCTTGCACTCGAAAGGCAGGAGCGATGCCACTGAGCTAAATTCCCGGCCCAGGAGGAGCATTCTTTAAACACCCACCTTTCTTGGGCCGAGACCTAATTTAGATACTTAACATTATTAACGCTCCTCAAGCTAGGTGTGATGGTGCATGCCTGTAATCCTAGCACTTGGGAGGCTGAGGCAGGAGGGTCACCGCGAGTTAAAGGTCAGCCTGGAATACACAGCGAGACCCTGTCTCAAATAAATGGATAAATAAATACAATAGATAGATAGCTGATAGATAAATAGGTGAATAAATTTTGAAAACAACCCAAATAAAAATAAAGCCCCTCAAGGAGCACTGACCACCTGAAAGGAACAAGACATTTTTGATATATCAACATTCCAAAGTAAACCCTGAGAGAAATGTCGATAAAATTGTACATTGTACACACCTGTACACACACACACCAGTAATCCCAGCATTTGGGAGGCTGAGGCAAGAGAATTGCCAGGAGTTCAAGGCCATCCTGGGCTATATAGTGAGTTCAAGGCCAGCTTGAAGCACATAGTGAAACCTTGGCTCAAAAATTAAAATCAAGGGCCAGGGATTTAGCTCAGTGGTACCGTGCCTGGCTCACAAGCCCAATGTTCTGAGTTTGATCCCTCATACCCCTCCCAAAAAAATTTAAAATTAAAACCCCAGGGTGAGCAGAGTGAGTTTTGTGTGCATAAAAATGATTTAAACTAGCACTTGCAGTAGATGCCTTTATGGCACTGCCTGGTTTCCCTTGAAGGAGAAACTGTACGTCTGTTTTACAATACATTCTGCCTATACTTCTGCACAGCCATCTATGTATCAACTGAACCAAGGGCCAAGGAAGTGAGGTCCTGGCTTCCTGGTGACACCACAAGTCTGGGCAATCACAACAATTCATTCATTTAATTTTTCAGAGTAACCCTAAGACGTAGAGGCAATTATCATCTCCATTTTAAGGTGACAGAGGAACAGATTATTCTCATATCTAGCAAAAGGGAAAGCAAGACAAATCGGAATAGTGCCCTCATCCTTCATCTCTTACTACCTCTCATACAGTGAAGGGCATTAGAATGAGTGAGCATAAGGAAACGAGTCCTGGTTTCAGCTTTACTTTTTATAAACTGTGCACCCTGCTTGTGTAAAATTCTCTCCAACTCTGTGCTAAATAATGCAGGTATTATAGAAATGACAGATAATACCAACTTTACTATCCCTTACAAATTTTTAGGTAAAATCATCTCCTGTCATCGCCACCCTTGTAGAAATGATTCAACATTTTCTAGACGTTATTTTGCATCCTTGATAGGGAAAAGTTTTAGATAACTTAATAGATTGAATATTAAAGTAGTTGTAGAAACAAAATAAGTAATGTGTTCTTTTAAGATTTGCTTTTCCCATAACTCTCCTTGTTTAAGGTGAAGGTAATCTGACTCTTTAACCAGTAACTTCATTAACCTAACAAAGTTGAAATGCCAGGGTGAATTTACAATGTATATGTGCC